GGGCCCCGGGGGCGGCGGGCGGGAGGGGTGTGTGCGGGTGCTCTCCTCCCCGCCCCCCGGGACTCACCGCTGACGGGGCCCCCTCCCCTCTCTCGTGTGTCTCTCTCCCGCCCCGCCCTGCAGAGATCGCGGAGTTCGCGCGGGTGATCGGGATCGACCCGGCCCACGAGCCGGAGCTGATGTGGCTGGCGCGGGAAGGCATCGTGGCGCCTCTGCCGGCCGAGTGGAAGCCCTGGTGGGTGAGAGGCGGGCGGGGGGGGGGGGCGGGGGGGTGTCCTTCGCCAGGGCTTGTCGGTTCTTTCAAAAGGGAGGCAGTGTGTGTGTGTGGGGAGGGGTAGGGGTCTTTGGACTGGAGACTCCCTGCGTGCGCACAGGCAGATGCTCTCCCCACCAAGGCGCCCCCCCCCAAATGATGCAGCTGCTGGAATGGGGGTGCCTGAGGGTGTCACGGATTCAGCAGATGTGACGAGAGGCTCCAGCAGCTGTGTGTGTGGGGGGTTGGGGGGAAGCGGTTCACTGGATTCTTATGATCCAGTACCTGGTTACCCAGGTAATCTGAGGCCCAAGGTCTCTTTTAATGAGACTCTTGGCCCTCTTTTTGACCCATAACCCTTTCACAAGCTGTCACTATCTTTTTACTCTTCCAAAATAAAGAAATCGAGTAACAAGCAATGCCTGTTTCTCACTGGCACACATTTGTCATCAGTGTGAAGAATCAAACAAGGTGCTCAAGTCTTCTTTTCCAGGAAGTGACTTTGGTTGACCAGTGATAAATAAAAGTGGGCCCTCCTGTGCTGTCACCTGCTCCCAGTCCCCTGACTCTCACATGTCCCAAACCCCACATGGTGGGCACTGCTTTCAGAGTGGATCCATATCTGTGCGAGGGAGGAATTGCCCCTCTGCCCTTTCACTGTGTGTATGTGTGTGCGCACAGGTTCTTAGAGTCTCTGTTTTTTGACAGTCAAGACATCACTGGTGACATCTATTATTTCAACTTTGCCAATGGTCAGTCAACATGGGATCACCCGTGTGATGAACATTACCGGCAACTTGTGGTCCAGGAGAGGGAGAAGCTTCTGGGACAAGGAGCAGGCATCAAAAAGAAAGACTACAAGAAGAAGAAGAAGGAAAAGAAAGATAAAAAGGAAAAAAGAGAGCCACGTCCAGTTGTGAGTATTGTGGTTGCTCAGCAGATTGGGGTATTGGGGAAGTGTGCATTTCTCACATCTGCTTTTCTCTCCACTGTTACTGGCCTCTCTTACCTTAGCACTCTTTGCTTTCCACGTGAAGTTCTCATGATCTGCAGTACTTGTCCAGACCAGAAGCTATTTCTTTCTGCTTGCAGAGCCAGACAAGAAACCCAGCTTCCCAAGTCTCTGTTGTGATCAGCAGTTGCTACAGTTCTGTGGCCAAAACAGGATGGAACTGCTGTGACCCCTTTCACAGTGTGGCTTGTTTTCTCTGCTCTTTTCCAGATCGTAGTCTGTCCATCTTGAGAGTAGATTGCTTTTGCGTTGGGAGCACAATAGTCACTCTCCATGGAGAGATGCATTCCAGCAATATTCCAGAGGGTGGGAAGGTGACTGAACGGGATTCTTGAGGGAAGCTGTTAGAAGGTGGGGGTTGCCTGTGGGCTTTGCTTGTGGATTCTTCCTGTGGCACTTGATTGGCCACTGCTGGGAACAGAATATTGGACTAGATGATGACTGAGCTGATCCAGCAGGGTTACTCTTACCTTCTTATAACCAACTAATTATTTCTTGAGTTTAGGTTGAGGGGTGGGGGTGCAGGAGCTCCAGGGTCCAGCTGTTGCAAGCACTAGTACAGGCAGGCACAGTTGTCCACGTAGAGTACGTCTTCCTGCTTGGAGTGTTAGTAGTTTCTGCTTCACTTGAGTTTGTACATATGTAATTTAAATGTTACCTGATGGTATTTGTCTGATTAGGAGGTCCAGTCTGAGCCGGGGATCCTTCCTTCAACATCCTTTTATAGAGTTTCATCCCCTGTCCTGTTGTCAGAGTGCATGAGCCCTGACCTAGAGCAGGGTAGCGTGATTGCGAGAAATGAAGGCTTCTTGAGAAACCAGAAGGCAAAGGCTTCAGGGATGCTTCTAGACTCAGTTGACTGCCCCCGGCTGTTCTCTGGCCCCGCCCCGAGTAAACTGCAGCCTCTTCAGACAGCAAAGTCAAACAAGACTCATCAAATGCTTGCAGATGTGGAAAAGATTCTTGGAAGAACGTCATCGCGTAACAGACGGAACACTGGCTACCAGCCGTGTGAAGTTCTGGGTGCAGAAAGGAGCGATGCTACAGCTTTTGCCTTTTCAGACTCTGAACCTGAGGAGCTAGACAATATCAAGGTCACAAAGCACATTTTCCAGACGCCCACAGAATCCTTTCAAATGGTGGAGAGTGCTAAAACTGTGCTAGAGCCAGGTCCTTTTAAGGACCGAAACCTCTTTCTCAGGGGAGAAAATCTAGGCAAAGACCAAGGGTGCAGTCGGGTGGGAGGGGCTGCTGATTCCTTGACTGGACAAAAGACTAAGGAGTCTGGTAGTTGGATGGTGAGGGATGGAGGCTTCTTTCATGACTTGGGAAATGAAGTGCTTTCTCCCGCTGCTTCTTCCCCCAAACGTGTTAGCCAGAAATCCAGCACTGAGACTGTAGATGGACAAGATGACAGTCATTCTACGCAGAGTGGACAGAGGCTTCTCAGCAGAACGGTAAAGAGCAGAAGGGAGAGGATACCTCCTGAGCAGGGCCAGAGTCAGATCGCTGAACTCAGCAAGAGCAGCCACTCAGGGGGCAAGAGCGGAAGAGAATGTGCACAGCAGGCTGCGCCCGAGATGCCTCCTGGTGTCTGGGCTCAAGGCCAACCCCACCCCCTGGAGGTCTCTCAGGGGACTGCGCTTTTTGCCGAGCTTGGAGAAAAGGACAGAATGGGTGAGGAGGAGGACGCCTGTGCCCTGCGGATGACTGTTCAGCCCAGAGCTGAAAAGGCCGGTGGTGCGGGGCCCAGCTGTGGCGGTGGCAGCATGACGAGCAGTCTGGCAGACCACTTGGATTCCCAGATCTTGGGAGAAGTGGACAACTTCTCCTGGGACCTGCAGAGCTCCAATGAGTCCGATAATCCAACCGATCCGCCGGCTTCCGCAAAGAGACTTTTCCTGGATTCTCTCTGTGCCCAGCCTCTAGACTCTCCAGATAAGTCAGAGAGTGAGTGCTCCTCTGAGGAGCAGAAGTTCTGTCGGCCTGTGTTTCATAGGAGGAAGAGATCCCAGGGAGCGGAGCCGCCTGTGTCTGAACCCCTGGAGCAACAGCAAAAGCGCACCAGAGAGCCAGGTCTAGAGCAGTCGAGCCAAATAAATTTGGCACTTCGTATCGCTCAGGAAGGGCCTGAGGAAGCAGGTGGAAGACCAAGGCAAAGTATTGCAACATTTGAGAGGGGGGAACTGCAGAGTCCAGGTGAGCGTCAGGTGTTCATATTTCAAAGTAGGCATGCAGAAGCCAATTCAGTCCAGAACAGGAAATGGACAGAGGATGACGGCAAGCCTGAGCATTCACCAGAAGGAGACAGTAAAGAGGTAGGCAGCATAGATTTATTTTCTCATTCCATTTTTGTCCCATTCTTTTCTGAGGAGCTCAGAGTGGCTCACTAACGACCCTCCCTTATGTATTCACAGTAGCTTAGTAGCATTGTTTAGACTGAGAGACAGTGATAGGCTCAAGACCACCCAGTAAAGGGACTGGAACCTGGGTCACTAGGCTACTTTACAACATGGATTTAGGTACACTGGAAGGGCCTCTGCCTGGTGCATGAAAGAGCCAGGATGGTGACTGTGGGATATTGCAGAGTGGAGGGAGACAGCAGGTAGAGGTCACTTGTAAAGCTTATAATGTAGTAAATGAATATACTGATAATTTTAGAATGAACATGATTATCCTGTGGCACTGAAACATTTCCATAATCCCACTGAAGGTTTAAGATTATTTTTAAGAGGTGGGGCAGAAAGGAGAGATGGTTTGAGGTAGCACAAACATCACTAGTAGAGTCACAAACATCCCTAATGATTGACATGTTGCTCAGTAAACCATAGAGATTTTGCAGCGCAAACCCAGGCTGTTGCAAGTCCTTTATTAAGGGTAGAGCACATGCGATCTTGCTCTAAGTGAGCACCCAATGCAGTTGTTCTAGCTTATGGGCATAAATGTGTGCATGGCTATCACCAGGATTGCTTTCTGTAAAGCATCTCTTAACATGTGCTTTAATCCCATAAAATCTCTGTCCCACATTTCCTTCACATGCTGGTTATTCTAGCATCCCACCTCTCCCTCCATTATATTGGCTAAAGGAATGAGGGGGTGTCTGTGAAATCCCTGGCCCTAATCTGCCACAAACTCACATGGGGCTCATCAGCCAGCAACATTCTCAGCTTACCATTTGCAATATGTGAATATTTCCAGAAACTTCTATACATTTTGAAGCAGGGGGTGGGGGATTTTGTTGAAGAAAATCCATACATTTTAGGGGGAAATGAAATGCGTGCAGTACTTTTCTATCAAACCTAAACACTTGGTTTATGGTTTTAACCATCCAAAATGCATAACTTGTATCTTTGCGTATGTAGTTGCACTATTTGGGAAATTAATGGAATTTAAAAGTATAAATTCTTTAGTATTTTAAAAGCAAAATTGCAACTATATCCAGTACCAGAGAGAGACACCTGCAAAGCGTTGCACTCTGTATCTTCATCATCTCCCTCCTTTTTTATTCCCTCACTGAAAATCTTGAGACAGTGTGCGACTGCAATAAAAAGGGCCAATGCTATGCTGGGGATTATTAGGAAGGGAACTGAAAACAAATCAGCCAGTATCATAATGTCCCTGTATAAATCGATGGTGCAGCTTCATTTGGAATACTGTGTGCAATTCTGGTCACCACACCTCAGAAAGGATATTACAGCATTGGAAAAAGTACAGAAAAGGGCAACTAGAATGATAAAAGGATTCGAACCCTTTCCCTATGAAGAAAGGTTAAAGCACTTGGGGCTCATTAGCTTGGAGAAACGACGACTGGTGACATGATAGAGGTTTACAAGATTATGCATGGGATAGAGCAGGTAGAGAAAGAAGTTCTTTTCTCCCTTTCTCACAATACAAGAAATTGGGGGCAGTCCATGAAATTGCTGAGCAGTTGGGTTAGAACGGATAAAAGAAAGTACTTCTTCATCCAAAGAGTGATTAACACACGGAATTCACTGCCACAGGAAGTCGTGGCAGCTACAAACGTGGATGGATTCAAGAGGGAATTGAATAAACATATGGAGCAGAGGTCCATCAGTGGATATTAGCCACAACGTATAGATAGGAACTCTCAGTCTGGGGCTGTCAGACCCCTGTACGTACTCACTCCTGACAACACTCTTCAGGTGTAAGATTTGTTTATTGAGATATGCAGCCGTTACAGGTGTAAGCCAACTTGTGTCAGAACTGGTGGGCATTGGTGCCAAGCCCACTGTTATACCCACTTCATATAACCCCCCGTGCCATGGTCCAGTCACACTGGTCATCCATCCCGCCAAGCCAATGCGCAGTCTCCCCTCCCACCTGCAAACTACACAGAGTATATATAGCAGCACTCCTGGCAGCAAAGGCTTCAAGGACACTTCATCTTCCCTTTGGAGGCCACTTGGGAAATTGTTACAGGCGTCTAGCGAAACTTGTTCCCAAACATTCCTTCCCCCAATCACTCCCCCTGCTTCCAGTTCAAAGCGAAAGCATCACAGAGAACAGAAATCAACATGGCAAACAAAGTACTGAGTAGGACATACTCCCCCCCCCCAGTCCCTATCCACCCAGCTTGAGAGGGAAGCGTTTATGGAAGGCTTGCACCAGCTGGGGACCCTTGACGTGTTCCCCCTGCACCCATTCGTTGTGACTAGGGTCAAAATCCCTCCACTTGATTAGATAGAGGTGGCCACATTTTAACAGCATGGGAACAGGGCAGATCCCTGAAAACCCAGCCTACATAGCTCTGTTCAATAACTCTAGCCTCAAAGGAAAAATACAGTACCCTCAAGAGCTAGGAGCTCTGTGCATGGAGCACACACCCACAGTTTCTGTTCACCAGACAGTTAATTGTACTTGTGCTTATCCCCCCTCCCCATGGCTCTGTGTCTTCTTTGCTAGTTTAATTGTTCAGACTTTAGAGGTCTTTGAGCTGTAAGGAAGGATGCATACCTGAGACGATGCAGAGTCCTGCACCAAAAAGGATGACATGATTTTGTCATTAGGAGTGCTTCTTTCTACCCTAGCCCATATTCTATTGGGATACAGAAATATTCCATGAAGTTTTAAAAAAATACGTACATACACACACACACACACACACACACACAATCATAGAATCACAGAGCTGGAAGGGGCCACACAGGCCGTCCAGTCCACCCCCCCCCCGCTCAATGCAGGATCGGCCTCGAGCATCCCTGACAAGGGTTTGTCCAGCCTCTGCTTAAGGACTGCCAGGGGGAGGGGGAGCTCACCACCTCCCGAGGCAGCTGGTTGCCACTGTGGCACAACGCTGACTGTCAAAACTTTTTTACTAAGATCCGGCTGGTACCTTCCCGCCCTTCATTTAATCCCATTATGGCGAGTCCTCCTCTCCTCTGCTGCCCACAGGAACAGCTCCCTGCCCTCCTCCTCCAAGTGACAGCCCTTCAAAGACTTCAAGAGAGCCATCCTGTCCCCCCCCCCAGCCTCCTCTTCTCCAGACTGAACATTCCCAAGAGGTCCCTCGGCCTTTCCTCACAGGGCTTCTTGGTTGCCAGGCCCTTGATCACCCTCCTCGCTCTCCTCTGCATGTGCTCCATTCTGTCCACATCCTTTTTGAAGTGAGGCCTCCAGAACTGCACACAATCTCTCTATGTAGAGAGAGCATTGATCCAGAAAAGCACTTTTAAGTCCTCAATAGACACTGCCTCTCCTGATAATTTTTTCTAGTAACCTAGACAACATTTACCTAACCATAAAGGCATATCTTGTCGGGGCAGAAAAGCACCCCAAGAAAGTAACAGTGTTTTAATTTTAAATATGTTTTATTTTAACATTTGTGGAAGCTTGTTTTCCAATATCTGAGGTTCAAAGTACAATTTTTATTGTTTTAAATTGGGGGGAAAAATGTAATTGTATAGGGAGCCACTGCTGTTACATGTTACTCAGTGTGCCAAAGGGGAGAGGTGAATTTGCTGAAAAGAATAATTTTGCCTCATATGAAAGTGTGTTTGGGTACTGCAAAATATTGTGACTTTTGCTGCCACAAACAAAGATTGTGGGAACATTGTTTTACCCCAGGGTACATTAGGAGCGTGACTTGGGGTAGAAATATGTTCCAAAGTACCATTTGCTTAATTTTTGCCTCACAGATTTACTAGCTGGTTAACCGTGCATTGGACTTCCCATAGTCTATAAACTACCGAGTGGCACTTTTAAATTCTTTGCACCTTCCTGATTTGTTAGGAAGCTGGTGGCAACTGTCCAAAGGTCTGAAGGCATTTAAATATCCCCTCTTTACAGTCTGATGAGGTCTTGTAATAACCCATTGCAGCAATGAGATGAATCTGCACTGAGAACATCCCAAGGTGATCATGAGGCCTAAGATTTTGTGAGCTGCTTCTTTTAGTGTGGTTTATTGATTAGGCTGGTCAGAAAAGAGTTCCACTGAGGAAAGCCGTCCTGTGTGGTGTTTCTTTGCATCCCTGTGGAGGAAGCAGCCAAGTACTGTTTAGAATCAAGGAGATGTTGCTACTCTGGAACCTTAACTACTGCGTCAGACGACTAAATATGCGACCCAGCTTCAAAGAGGCAGTTTAGATCTGATCAGGATAGCAATATTGTTCTTTTCTTTCCTTGATCGCACTCGATTGTGGTGGGGGAGGAGTTCTTTGGTGGAATTCTCTTTGCTTTGGAATATGCAGGGGAAACCCCTGCAGAAAGTACCAGAGTGTTCGGCCCGTCACAGCAGCTTTATTTGAATGAACTATCACAGTGGTGCTGGAGTTGTGTCTTCTGGTTGAAGGCTTCTTGCGGCTTTAGGTATGCCAGGGGTCTTTGTGTTAAATGAGGCACAGAAATGAGTGTGCTTCTCCTGTCTGCTCAGTGGTAAAAGCTCTGGCAAGTAACAGCACAAGAAGAATTGTGTCAGAGTTCGTCCTCTCATTCTTAGTGTAGTTACATGCTTTTCATGAGAGGGGTCCAAGGGTCACCCCCCTAAGCCTCATTGGGACTTTTCTCATTTGGGATTGTCAATAGATAAATGCAAGTTGGGTCTGTGATCTCTTTACCTTTTAGTTCTGTTTATCCTATTTTCTTTTCTCCTTGTTTCCACTGGTATCTTTTACTGGAAGGAACCAGTTGAAAGACCACTGAGAGTCAAATAGATACTTACCTCTTTCTGCTCCAGCACCAATGTTGTGGCAGACACAAAAATGTTTGCTTGGCAATAGAAACAGAAAATGGAGGAGAATGTTAATTTCAGTTGACAACAGTGTGAATATTGCACATATCTTGAAATACATTTCATCCAAGTATAGATGCAGTGCTTTCAATCAGTGTTTAGATTTCTCAGAAATGAAATGCTTTCAGCTGGCCAAGATTGTAGGCCCAAGTATGCTGCAGGAGTTAGAGAAGGACTGTTGCCCTGCTGGTCCTGTGGCTGTTTATGCCTTTTGTGGCACTCACCCCAATGCTTTCTGTCACCTTGCAAAAAGGGAGCTTATTTGCAAGCTCCCGCTAAATGGATGCAGCCCAGGCTATGTAGGTTGGGAGACCCGTTAACTCTGGAATGCAGATGTGTGTCTTCTGTTGCTTTGTGGTCATCCTGACCAGATGGCTGGGCTTTGGAACAACAACTTCAAAGTGGTAGCTTAAGTGTCACCTTGCTCAGTATTGCATGGGGGGGGGGGGGGGGGGGGCGCCCTACCGACACCCTATTTGGAGTCTGTTGCTATGATTTCCCTTCATGTCATGCATACATAATCTGTCAGGAGGCATCTTAGGTGCCTATCTGTGATGGGAATTTAAAACAAATTAAACAAATCCACTGTTGGTATGGCTATCAATTATTAGGCATTCTGGATCCCAGTTAGCTGGAACAAATATGGGAAGGGTTGCCGCCTTCATGGCCTGTCCCCAGAAACATGCAACAAGCAGCTGTTCCAAGACCTGATTTTTGTGTCTCTCTGTCTGTCCCCAGTCTCCAGGCTCTATCCTCACGCCTGTTCAGACTCCCTTGGGTAGTTTGGCTCCTTTACGTGGCTTTGCAGAAACTACTTCTGGTGCAGTCCATGACTCGCTAAATTCCAGTGGGAGAAGCTCAGAGGAACCCAGGCCACAGGGCCGAACAACTGAAGTGGTAAGCATCTCCAGGTTCCAGAATGTGTTGATGTACTTTTGCATATTAAGATGATTTCACTGGGTTTCTATCTCCTTTTTCATATTATCATCTTAATATACCTCCTAAATTTTGTTTGCCTTCTGTACCTCTCCCAGACCCTCAAGTCTGTCAGCTGCAGGAATGGTCTCTTTGGACTCACTGAAGAAGCAGCATCGTTGAAGCAACTGACAGAAGCAGAAAAGGAAGAAGGCAGCAATGAGGTAGTTAGAAGGTGTGGTAGTGCTCGGTGAAAATGTACTGTGGAAGCTGAAGCTCAACCTGGTTAGGCCACAGCCAAGTGACCCATCTTGTCTGGTGAGCCAACAGGCAAGTAACTCACCCTGGTTGGGAGCTGAGTCAAATACAACTCTCAAGATATACCGTCTAACTGTTGGACAGGATGGGCCATTGGTCTGATCCAGCATTGGCTTCTCTTATGTTCTTATGTTCTTATCTGTATTCAAAGGAATGCTGTTGATGTTGATCACCTGGATTTCAGTAAAGCTTTTGATAGGGTTCCCCATGAGGTTCTGATGGGTAAACTAGAGGACTGTGGACTGGACTCTAGGGTAGTTAGGTGGATAGTGAACTGTTTGGAGAACTGCACTCAAAGAGTAGTTGTCAGTGACGTTTCATCTGAATGGAGGAAGGTGTCTAGTGGAGTGCTACAGAGCTCGGTTGTGGGCCCAGTACTTTTTCAATATTTTTATAAATGAGGGTGTGGAGGAGCAGATGTGAACAAGGGGCAGTTTCACAAGGATAAATGCTGAGTTCTACATCTGGGTAACAAAAATGAGGAACCTGCATACTGGATGGGGATACACTTCTGGGCAGCAGTGTGTGTGAACAAGATCTTGGACCATAAGTTAAATATGAGCAGCCAGTGTGATGCAGCAACAAAAAAGGCTGATGCAATCTTGGGGTGTATCAACAGAGACACAACATCCAAGATTACCAGGGCCAGTCATGGGTCCCAGGGGGTGCGGCATCAAGAGGACCCAGACCTAGGTGTGACCAGTGAGGTCTCAGAGGGGCAGAGTCTGGGTTCACAATAGCTATGATGGGATTACTGGAGATGGCTGAATGAGTTTGAGGATTACTAATGGTTCTGCCAAGGCAGATTGAATAGGTTCCCAAGTATAGATAAAAGGTGGGAGATGAGTTCCCTGATTAGCATCAGGAAGGATCACTAAACATTTGAATGTATGATTGGTTTATCTCAGTATCCTGAGTGAAGGAGCAGGAAAGACAGTTGTGAAGACAAAAGATTCTCACATAGACCTGAGCCCGCTTCCAGGGAGGGCGGGATAAAAATACCTAAATAAATAAATAGACACAGAGGTGCAAACAAAAGGGCTGGGTGAAGTTCTGGAAGCAGAAGGGCTTTTTGCCTGGTGGTCTTTGAATAGCTTTTAGAAATGCAGATACTTTACCTGGTGGAAGTGCCATTGTTTCATATGCGTACCTTTCTGGGTGGGGGGAGAAGACTGGAGGTTTGCTCTGAGGGCTGCCTTTATGCCACCTGAAAATGGAGGCCCTTTTCCCAGAGCTGTGGCTAGCTCTTGTGTTTCAGGCCAGGAGTGCCTTCCTTGGCTTGAGTTTGTAGGTCTCTGGTTCAGGTTAAAAACTGGGGCACCCCTGCTATTGGGGCTACCCTAAAGTAAGGCAGCGCCTCTGGGCTACATCCCCTGCTCCTTTCATGCCCTCTGATCCTCCCTGTGGCAGACTGCCAAAGCCTCCCTGTTGCTGAGGCTACCCTGGTTGCAGCCTTTTGCCCCTGGTCCCACTCAGCTCCACCCAGGTGTCAGAACCCACAGCTTACAACGAAGTACACGCATTCAGGAACGGTTATACTTTTATTGCAAAGCTATAGATGCAGTAACACAGGCACTGTTAAGAATGGCGGCAACCCATTGAGCATAATAGGATATAGGGCATTCGTATGCACCCCCCCCCATGGTATGGGTCAATTAGCTACCTTCCCGCGCGCGGGACCAGCTAGGAAACCGTTACGTGGCGAAAGCTGGGAAGCAGTACTCTCTCACGGTACATCGGAGACTTCCAGACAATACAACCTCCTCCTGCACATCTGTAGAGATAAGCGTTGCGGCACAGGCAGAACAGCAGAGATAGGAATGCAATAGCAATTACCAAGACACAGAATGAACTCCCCAACCCCCATGGCAGTATAGCTGACACCAGGTGAGTCTCGCTATTGGGTCCAGGGGTGTGTCCTTCCCCACCAGGTGGTTGTTGCTAGGTAGTCTGCTATAGACATTACACAAGAGATTAGACAGGGTATATGTGAGTGTCCAAGAGATACAGGGAATTAATAAACACCTTGCATTACATTGCTGCAATATTTTTTTAACATTTATTTCATAATGGTCATAATAGAACATGATTATCGTTGTAGATCAGTATCAGCCTTGTGTGATCCTGAACGAGATCCACTGGTTCACTGTACATTTGGCAGGAAGCTTAAAGGACATAGAGGTAACTTAAAATGAGCTGAGCATGAAAAAACCCACCCTATAAATCAGTCATGAGCAGCTGGTGGCCTGCAGGCTGTACCAGGGCCCTGGCTCAGCATTCTACAGCCTGTCCATCTCTTCTCCCTCAAGGCAGAAAGGAGTCAAAAGAGGCTGGCACCATGTGTTGGTGTGTAAGCTTCAACACCATGATCAGGAAGATCTAGCTGACAGCTGCATTGAACCAGATTCAGCCGGTTTGGACTTGGCAGAGGCAAGCCAAGTCACCATGAGTCAGCACTGATCTGATTGGCTGACCAATGTATATATGTGATTGTGTATCTCTGTATGTATCTCTCTTGGATGGTGGATGGAGTCTGGCGGAGCAGTTTGTTGGCGAGCTGTAAATATTGTAAATAAATTTCCTCCTGGTGAGTGCAAGTGTGACTGAGGTGCTGGTTCAACTTTCGAAACGCGCTGCGCGACACCATGATGCCGTTGCTGGTTTCTTCCTCCCTGTGCTACCGTGAGAGGGAGCCTCCAGGACATTGGCGTGTGGTGTGGTGTGATGCAACAGCACTTTGCATGCAGCTATATGCACTGAGCAAGACATAGTTTCTGTTGGGAACCTTTGTACCAGGTGTTTATACAGAGATGTGCTTTGGCGAGTGGGAAGGAGGCAGCTGGAGCAGGCCCTGTGAAGGAAGCCTGAAAGTGGCGTGCAACCAGCAGTGTTCTTGGGCCTCTCTTTCTTGTGACATTTCGTGCTTTAGGGTTGTTTTTATTTTATTTATTTATTTATCTTTGAATTTATATCCCGCCCTACCCCAAAGGCTCAGGGCGGCTAACAAGAGGCACAGAGTGCCAAGATTAAAACAAATAAAAACAACATAGCATAAAACAATAACATACAATAACAAAATATCAGTCCTCCATTTGTCACAAGATGGGGTAGATCTTATTCCCAACGGTAACATTCCCATAGTCTGTCATAGTCTGTCATCCCTCATCCTGTTCAACTTGGGGGCTGGATACTCCCCAGCCAATGTGCAGCGGGAGCGTGGTGCTACTATGGCCAGGAAGTCCAATCCATGAGTGTCTCAGCTAACCCGTGCTGAAGAAGCTGGATTGTCTTGTTTGAGCAAGAAACAAGGACTTCTGTATCAGGGGCTATTTTTCATTCTTAATCTCTAGCATGAATTTTCAAAGCATGACTTGGGTGTCAGTGAACATACTCTCTGCTCTGTTTGTTGTTGCATGTTTAGTGTCCCCGTGGGACAGTCGGACTTCTCAGGAACATACATGTGGACGTTAGTGCCCTTGGAACCAGCTTTGACAATGAGGTACGTGTTGCTTGTGTGGGAAGAAAGCATGTTGGTCTTTTATAACAGGAAGTATCTGTTTCCCTGTCGGAGCTGCTCCTCAAAGGAACGGAGCTTGGGGACGTGATTCACTATATCATAGTTCTAAATCCAGAGAACTCTTTGTAACTGTGTGTCTTGCTTTCTGTTGGTTTCATGGAAATAAGTGATTGGTGTTACGTGCAATGTATAATTGAGAAATGAGAGTTGTTTTGCTAAAAATTAAAGGAGACATAGCTGTTCTTTTCCTTTATTGGACATCATCAAAAATTCGTTCTTGGGGGGCAAAATTATCTAGGAGGATTAGTTGTCTGTTAGCCATAAGCCACATCATGCCCCCTGCTGCACAGCAGTGTAGATTTGAGCATCAGCTATTGTCACGTCACTAGAGAGATCTCGTGCTGGGTCTGTACGGAAGGATATAGGCAAGACTGAGGTTTTGGAAACTTTTACTGAATAACAGAAGATGGCTTATCCGTGAACCTTATTCCTTCAGGTTGCTCCCCACCCCAACAATCTCCGGCATGGAATGTGTTGGTCTCGCATGCGGTGTCACGGAGAGTTTGGCTGTCTGGCTGGTGTACTGACCGCCTAACGCACCGGCAGATGCCCCGTCCGACCTGTTAGACATGGCATCGGCTTGGGCACTGGAGCACTCCAGGCTTTTGGTCCTGGGGGATTTCAGTGTCCAGGCAGACGATGCGGCGTCTTCTCAGGCCAGGGACCTGGTGTGGTCCACGGAGGCACTGGGACTCTCCCAGTTTGTATCGACTCCCATGCCCCAAGCGGGCCACATGCTGGATTTGATTTTGGGGATGGGGGTAAATGTGGATCAGATGGCTATAGATGTAGTCCCATGGTCTGACCACTTTGCCCTGAAGGTTCGGCTGAGTATACCATGCCCACCCTGTTTTGGCAGCGAGCTCATTAATGTTCACCCGTGGAGCCAAATGGAGCGTAGTTGGCTTCAGGACGCTCTGCAGGATCCGATGCCCCCTGGCAGCTCGTTATGAGCTGGTGGAGGAGTGGGAATACCGGCTCTCTGAAGCCATCAGGGAGATGGCCCCCCAGCACCCTCTGTGCCCTCGTACCAAAGCAGCACCTTGGCATACCTCGGAACTGTGGAGGATGAAGCAGGAGCTAAGATGACTAGAGCAAAGGTGGTGGCGTGCCCACGATGAAGTGTCACAAGTATCCTATAGGACACTTATGAAAGCCTATGAGATGGCGGTGAAGGCCATGAAGAAGGATTTCTACACAGCCTCCATTTCGTCTGTGAGCTCGCGCCCAGCCCAGTTATTTAGAATTACTCAGTCTATTCCAACTCTGCCACAGGGCAGACCAAACAGTAGGGAATAGGGAATTGCCTATTGGCTATGAGGCATTTGTAAGCTATTTCGCAGTCAAAATCATGACACTCCACCATGACCTCCTGACCACACTTGAATTCACTGCCACAGGAGGTGGTGGCGGCTGCAAGCACGGACGGCTTCAAGAGGGAATTGGATAAACATATGGAGCAGAGGTCCATCAGTGGCTATTAGCCACAAGGTATAGATAGGAACTCACAGTCTTGGGCAGATGATGCTCTGTCTTCTTGGTCCTTTGAGGGGGGGCAACAGTGGGAGGGCTTCTAGTGTCCTGGCCCCACTGCTGGACCTCCTGATGGCACCTGGTATTTTTGACCATTGTGTGACAGAGGGTTGGACTGGATGGGGCCCACTGGCCTGCTCCAACATTGGCTTCTCTTATGTTTTATGAGACAGTAAGGGAACTGGAAGCCCCTTGTCCGTCTTCAGGTCCAGTATTGGACCCCTTCAGCTGCCTTTTCCAGGAGGAAGTTGACAGGATCCTGGTAGCTGTGAGATGATATATCTACAGACTTTAAGAGCTTTGGGATTCTTCTGGCCTTGCTTTTGGCAAAGCATGCTGGCACTGTAGCTCAGAGTGCCTTCTGTCATCAACGTCTGACTCAGGATTTCCCCTCACCGGCGGGCTCTGTTGACCTGACCAGCCTGATCGTGCTTCCCTGGCCTCCTGGTTCGACTACTGCAATGCACTCTGTCTGGGGCTGATCTGGAGGTAACCCAGAATTTTCAGCTTGTGTAGAATACAGCCATTCTTTCTTTGGTGCTGGGTGATATAAATGTGCATGTGTGTGTAGTGGCTGTTTTCCAGCGCTTGCTGTCGACCTGCTCTTAACCTGTGTGACTCCAGTGTGGGAACTCTCATTGGGCCAGAAACTTTAGATTTTAAAAGCTGCTGTTATATACCTTATCCTTAAATGCTGGAAAGCTGAAACTTCACCACCTATAGAAGCCTGAAGAATAACTGTATTTAGAAGTGAAGGAAAAATATCATATGAATGTGACCCTTATGAGAGCGGAAAGGCGGGATATGGATTTTGTGAAATCTAAATCAAGATGGAAGAAAGCATTTTTTGCAGTTATATTAACTTGCTTCTCCAGCAGTATTGCTGAATCCAGTATAACTCCTAAACTCTTAACCAAGTCAGCAGAGGTTGAAGATAGGGAGCAAAGCGTAGGCTACTGATACCTACTTCTGACTCTAGGCATGTCAACAAAATGACATGGTTCACTGTGTCAGAGGGGGCAGATAAATCCAGTAGGAGTAACAGAGGCATAGCCCTTTGTTTACATTCAGATGGAGATCATCAACTAAAGCCACAGTGCGATATGTTCTTCATGTATAGGGTTGATATATGATGTTGATTAGCAGCTGCAGGTGATCTGTGCCCAGCCTATATTGGATGGAGAGCACTGAGATGTTTAGACAGCCTTTCAGAGAAAAAAATTAATATATTTATTTAAAACCCTGGACCCAAGCTGGGGGTAAGTTTCCTACCCCAGTTGCACTTTTGGTGGCAGAATGCATAGAGAAGTGACTGTACAACTTTGTCCTCTGAGGACTTTGTCACCCGTGCAGTACAGAACAATGTCCCCTAAGCACCAGGGAACCAAAACAACCCCAGAAATCTTTTGCTACTGGGGTACTTTTTTATAGCCTCTCAGGTGGAGCAGGTGGAGAGGGATTGGACACTGGCCAGCTGAGGGAGGGACCAGGGAATCCCATAAAAGGGAAAGCACCACAGCTGGCTGAAGAGGAAGCAATAGAGGAGGAAGACCATAGAGAGAGCGTGAGAGTTCCAGCGCCAGTCTGAGGGACGAAGAGGACCCAGGTGCCAGAACCCCCTCTCCTTCCCATTTCTGAGGCCGATGGGGGCGGGATGGCGGAAAGCAGGGAGACCATCTCAGTGGTGCTGTTGCAATCTTGAGTATGCTGTTCAGGTGTGTATCTGTAAGCTGCAAACCTACGATGATGCAACAGCGGCAGAACTGGAAGAAGGAGCCAGTTGCACTGCGGGGGCCTGATAGAAGCCCTCTGGGGGGCCAGATCCGGCCCCTGGGCCACATGTTTGACACCCCTGGGGTAGATTATTTTTCCATCCACTGGTCCCTTGTCCTACAGTTATCAGACACTGTTAAATAAACAAAATATTAAGAGTGCTAATGTTTTCAGCATGTTCTTATTTTAAGAAAGAAACCCAAACCCTTTGTGTTTGTGTCCGTTATAAAGTTTATATCTCCGTTACCTGGCATTACATTTTATGACACACATGGCCTGGCCCAACAAGGTCTCATTTATGTCAGATCCGGCCCTCATAACAAATGAGTTCGACACCCCTGGGTTACGAGGTGAAGGGGATCATGGCACACTGTCAGGTTCAACAGCAAGTAAATCTCCACACACGTTTCCAGGGAATCATTATGCTTTATTAGACTACAGGTCCATTGCCGTGATCTACAGGGATATTGTTAGGAATGACAATGGGGTGGATGCATCCCTACATATAACAGGATGAGGCAAATGGCTAAGCAAATGAAATCCAAGTGCGCGGGCGGGAATTCTCCCAGTGGGAGGTTACATAATAAACGAGAGAGTCTCCGTGCCTCATGAGAGCAAAAATATTCACACCAACAGTGGAACGCAAGCCCTCCCTCCTTCTCAAGGCCAGTCAGATAACCCAGTCTGGTAGCACCAGTTCACACAGTCTCATGAGCGCCTCCCTATCACTGTTTACAGCAAGCGAGCACAGCAGCAAGGAAGCATGCGCCGTAGTGCCAGAGTCAGGGAAGGAAACATACAATTGAAACATGGCAGCTAGCTGACACACACTCCACCCGGGCTGCAGCCACTTCAGCCTCTTTTGCTACCAGTGCTCCTATTGAGGAGATATGCAGTGGCAACGGGGTCTTCCTTCACCGTGTTTGTTAAGCATTATAGAATAGACCAACAGCAGTCTATAGATATGGCTTTTGGTAGATGGGTTCTCCAGCAGGTCCTGGATTGAGTAGCTCTGCAGGTACCCACCCATTTGTACGTTCCGCTTTTGTATATAACTTCCCCCGCTGAAGGAGAATGAAACACTGGTCTTACCTAAAGGTTTCTTCTCTTTGGTGGGGCAAAGTCATCCAATATATTTCTCTCCTGCAGTCCAGTTATGTTGGAAAATGTTAAAATGTTACAATAAGAAAAGAACAGAAAGGATGCTGTTATGTTTGGATACGATTATGTGGAATGAATGTCCTCATAAAATAGGCAGTATTTTATGTTTCGACTGTGTTCAGGAGTAGGGGTTGTGTAAGTATCTCCCTTCCATTAGCAGTGAGGGCAAGGTGATTAAAGCAGGCCAAAGTGAAAGTTCTGCATATTTGGGGATTCTAGAGAAAATAGTTCACTGGCACAAAGTTTTGGCTATGATTCCCTACCACCAGATGGACGTGTGCCTGAGCTCCATCAGCTTAAAGAGCTATGTCCCAGATTAATTGTTTAAGCATTTATTCAGTTCTGGACAACCCAGGGTGGCATATTGCTAAGGGGGAGAAGCCAAGAAGTTGTAATTTATTCTCAACTGCATCTGAACAGTAACTATCCCAAAGAATTATGTGGGTTAATCCAGTCAGGTTGAATTTTAGCTTAAGCCGGAAGCGTATTACTTGGTACCAAGTGCAGGCTTTAAGTGACACCTGCCCCGATTCTGTTCTAAGAATTGCATTCAGTGTGCTGTAAGGAACACCAGATATGCTTCTGAGTAATTTAGACTGGACTGCTTCCAGGGGGTGGAAGCCTTTGTATAGACAATTTTGTGAACCATGCAGAAGCTGAAGTATCACTTTGCCTTGGAAAACTTTGATTATGTAGGGATTACATGAGCTCCTTTTGAGTAGAAGAGTCATAGGATAGCTGATGCCCGTCTCTGGGCACTCTCAGTAACCTGAGTCATATGGGCCTGTTGACTGAAATACGACACCTAGGCGTTCAAAGGCCTTCACCTTGTCTGTGTCATGTCCATGGATCTGCCATTTATTTTTGACATATCTCCTAGAAAAAACTAAAATATTGGTCTTTTGGTAGTCTACTGATAGTACTGGCATTGGTATTGATCTGGCAACCTCCACCAAGTTTATTGATACTGATCTGGCAACCTCAGCCAAAGATGGTTTTTTTAATGGTTAAATATTTGATGGAAGAATGTTGCTGCTTCTCTGGTTGTTCAATAGACACTCCTCACTCAACTTTTCTGGAAATAGTGAGAGTTGCAGTCAAGCGTGTACAGCTCCCAGAGAAAGGCAGTGTCACCTTCCAGATCTCTAAAATCCCCGAGGGCTTGTGTGCATTTATTAGGTGAACTGATAATAGTCAAGCAATAATATTCGCCCTACCCGTTATATGAGATCTGATTTGTTTTTTAAGGATGACCTGTGCAAAGACTGTATGCAGATGACTGACAAGACTAGGAGTGTGTGCAGGGCTGCTGATGTGTGTGCTCTTTGTCTTCTCGAAGGCTTCTGACAGCAGTAGTCCCATGAATGAATGGCAGGTATCGGACCACGTGAACCCCGAGCCAAATGATGTTGAGGTGAGTCTGCAGTTGAGAGTGACCGATTACTGCCTGCAAACAGCTGGGCAGGGGCCATAATGGGGATCAGAGCAGTGAGCCACTCTAGTTCTGGACAGTTGAGACACTTGTGTTTCAGAAGAGCATCTGCCTGGGCAGTGCTAGATACCTCCTGAGACGAGAAACTACAACTAGCTGTCATGTATTAATCTTATGCCTCTTCATTAGCAAGTGACACTTTAAACATTCCCAGCTTTACTTGGAAAGTAAGAAAGCTAGTCTCTGCTGCCCATTTTATCTTGTTTGGTTTTCAGGTTCCAGTCTTTGAGAATGTCTTAGATAAGGATGTGTTTCCTCCAGCCCTGGGCAGTGCAGAGTTTGCAGTGAGCAGAGCCACTGTGGAAAGTACTTGGAAAGAGGAGGTAAGAAGGACAGTTGAACTCCTTGAGTTAATTGTCTTGGCAGACTCTGGTATCTTGGCAGGAGAGCTGAAGGTGACACAGGAGAGCTGAAGGCCACTGGCTTCCATTTGAATCTTAAGGCTAGGCTAAGGGGAGATTTAAGGTGCAGGAAACATACTTGGTGACAATGAGTAAATAGCCCTTCTGTGAATTCTTCAACTGAACTCTGGTCCATCCCTGCCCATTTAGCAGGTCATGTTTCTGTTGTGCTGGGGCCACACAAAGAAGGCCATATACACCCTTGGGCTGCAGCAGGTCATGGCCCCTTGAGTGGGGTGAGCAAGAGAGGAGTCTTCAAAGGAAGAAAACACACTTCAGTTGCCTTGTATCATGAATGTCATCTGACAGTGATGGGCACATTTTGGGTGGCTTGCAGGAAGGGAAGAGGACCTCCTGTGTCAAAGACAAGGCAGCGCGTGGGCAGGTGCATTCACAGCACCTGGGAAAGCATGTCCATACTGAAGTGGGTTGTACATTTGCATTTTTTTTTAATCTGGTCTGTCTAGCTTATCACCTCAACATTAAGCAGTTTTCTGGTCTCCACTCCAAAAGTTGTGGCTCTGGTGGTCTCTGTCTCCTAACTGAAAGGACAGTGTTTTGGTGAACTCTCCAGTCTTTGCTTTCTCTTGCAGGTGGATGGATCGTTGGCACAGGGGAAAGACCAGAGCAAAGAGGAGCAAAGCCCAGCAAGCAGAGGACAGGCGGCAGCGGATAAGCGGTACAGCCCCGAGCCTTGTGTGTGGCATCCCATTCCAGTGGCACCCCCACGAACACCATCATAGCAGAGCACCTGACAACATGCTGGGATCTCTGCCATGTACACAGGGGCCATCTTTCATGACCACCCCTTCCCTTTGCTTTGCCGGCCTATAGCTAGCAGAAGGTTCTGATCTTCGATGTGGTCTCTGTGCTTCACACCCATGGGATACAGTGTGCCTGCGCTGGATCGATTGGCATTGTAGCAAGCTCTAACAGATTTTCACGCCCAGACCTCAGACATGCGCAGGAACCCCCACCACGCATGCCCAGAGGGGTGGGCGCGGACATCCCGCCAGTTCCTTTCTTTCCACCGCGCTGGAAGCACCTTTCCTTCGTTGGTCAGATTGGTAGCTATTTTCCTCAGAGGCTCTTCGGATTTCTCTTCAGTTTTTCCTCTTAGTTTTTCACCTTTCCTTCACTTCTTTGTTTTTACTTAAAAAAAAAAGAAAAAAGATTTTACTTAGTTTTGAGGGGGAAGTTTTTCGTCTTACCTCAGTTTGGCTTTTACCCCCCCCCCCTTCTCCATCTATTTTATTTTATGGAGAAAAGGTGGGGTTTTTTCAAACATTGTCAAGGGTGTGGCAGTAAGCTCGCTTCGCTGGACGGCCACACTCTTTGTATCTTTTGTCTTGGTGAGATGCACCGACCGGAGTCCTGCAGGCATTGTGCCAAGTTCTCCAATCAAGAATCGAGCGGCGCGTCTCCAGGTGGCGTTACTAGAATCGGCGCTAAATCCCGCTTCCGCCATGGATCCAGAAGTACCAGTGAGACCATCGACATTGATGGCTCCGGCTTTGAAATCCTCGTCCGACATCATCCAGTCGATATCGAAACGTCCGGTACCGACGGCGCAGTCTTCCGCGTCCACTCCCGTGGAAAAAAAAGGAGAAATCGGGTAAAGAGCACAAGTCCACCAAAAAGGGTTCCTCTAATGCCCTAAAGGTTTCGAAGGTGGCAAAAGTCGCGGGTCCTGCACCAGGTAATGCCCCTAAGGTGTCCCCTGTTTTGACGACAGTATCAGCATCGGAAGCTCCAGTCGCTCCACCGATACCGACCATCCAGCTGATGGACTGTCCTATACACCAGCTAGACCATGATACGCTGGTTGACATGCGCCCTTTCTCCGACATCGATAATGTCGAGATCCTCAGTTGTCCCCTGGGCACAGATCGTTCTCCCTCTGCTCAGTCATCGACGTCGACAGTCTCGGAGTTCTGTACCGATATCGATGCAGGTCGGCATCGACAGATCCCTCCAAACACTCAATGTCATCCTCCCCGTCTGTTTGCCGAAGATCGGCCTTTCGATATCGATGATCGGGCTGATAGGGGCCGCTCATGGAGATGAGATACTACGCTGTCTCCAAGACGTTCCCGCTCTTAAGAGTAGATCCCCATGAGTCTTCCTACCCCCACCACCTCCTGCCCTCTCCTGGGATCACCGTCAACTATGTTACCTCTATGGAGCTTATCCACCCGCATCTATGCCATGGTTGACTCCAGCAGGTTACTCGGATTGAGATCGCTACTCTGCTCACAGATCACGGTCACCCCGTAGATCGAGGCCGTCACCCTCAGCGTCTCTTTCCTGGCCTCCGGATCATGCATCTGATGACCCTCCTTGACATTGACCGGATCAATATCATCCTCCCAGTCCCCCTATCCCACCGTCAATAGATCCAACCAGTCAGATCAAAACCACTCCGGTACAATTACCAGAGCCCGATTCCTCTGACTCTGCAGATGAGGATTCAGATACGGGGGTTTCAGATGTACACAGCTCCCCGACCAGCCTTCTCTGAACCAGGCAGTAGCCCGATGACCAACCTATATCTCCATCTGAAAACTTAACTTCCTATGGAGACCTAATTAAAAGAATGGCCCACTCCCTTGGCCTTTCTGTCGTACAACCACAACCATAGGTTACAGATGCTGTTTTCGATGTGGTGCAACTAGATACATCAACGGCTATAGCACTACCCATGTCCATGGTACTGTTACAGGCAGCTAAAGCACTATGGGATAAACCATCATCAGCTCCAGGGTCCACATGCCACATTGACCATATGTATAGAGTCCAAGAAACAGGAGCGGAATTCTTATTTGCCCATCCTCAACCAAATTCAATGGTAGTTACTTCCTCATCCAAGTCAAAGAGAACCCATTCTGCCCCTTCAGACAGGGAGAGCAAAAAGCTAGATGCATTCGGACAACGTTTCTACTCTACTGGAGCACTAGGGGTGAAGACCACCAACTACTTAGCGTGTATGAGTACCAATACACTATGTGGGAGAGGCTCTCCGAGCTCTTGGCAAACCTTCCAGAAGATAAGCGTCAGGCAGCCCGCATCATCCAAAAGGAGGGCATGGTGCTGGCAAAACAACAAATTAATACCTCTAAACATGCCCTAGACACCTGCTTGAGGACAATGGCTTCAGCCATAGCTTTCCGAAGACATTCCTGGCTACATAACACCAACCTACAGCAAGAACATACGTAGAGGACCTCTCCTTCGATGGCCTTGGTCTTTTTAATACTACAACAGTCACCATATTACAAGACATGGACAAAAGCATAAAAACCTCTCGTGCTCTGGGCGTTTCTTCATCCACGAGGCAACAATACCGGCCTCGTCCCTGGTCTAGACCCTGGCAAAAACGTACCCCAAACCGTCAGTCTCTTGAGTGGCAATGGAGGCCACATACATCCTCTGGAGGCCAGAAGCCCACATTTCAGAAACCTAGATTTGGATCCGGACAACAATCCTCCTGCAGTGAGCAGGCAAAGTCTGCCAAACAGGGTTTTTGACTTCCATGTCTTCCAGTCACACCACACCCATCTAACCCCCTTCGTCCAAACCTGGAACCTCATCACCACAGACGAATGGGTGCTGTCCATCTTGACCCAGGGTTACCTTATAGAATTTATTCAGAACCCCATTACTCCTGTCTTTGTCTTCACACCCCCTTCTCCAGCCCTTCTGGAATAGTGTCCATCCTTCTGCACAAGGGAGCCATCGAGCTGGGGCCACTTCATCTACAGGGCAGGGGATTCTGTTCCCACTATTTCACCGTTCCAAAGCGGGATGGAGGCGTTCGACCAATCTTAGATCTACGGGTGCTAAACTGCTTTGTGAGCTACCACCACTTCCGCATGGTGTCCTTGCAGAAGATTCTGCCACTTCTCCAGAAGAACGTCTGAATGGCAAACCTCGATCTCCAGGATGCATACTTCCACCTCACCATCCACCTGTCCCACCGCCAATACCTACGCTTCGCAATTGGTCAACATCACTACCAGTATGCAGCTCTGCACCAAGAGTCTTCACAAAGATGATGGTGATGGTCGCGGCCTTCCTTTGTCTCAAGGGTATCTCCATCTACCCATACATCGTACGATTGGCTCTTGGTTGCGACTTCCAGGGACACCCTAGTCTCAAACATCAATGAGACGCTAACCCTCCTGGGAAACTTGGGTCTGCAAGTAAATCTGGAGAAGTCTCAACTTCAACCGGCCCAGAAAATACACTACATCGGTGCGCTACTGCACTCCACAAATTGCACAACCTACCTGCCACAAAACAGAGCCACCGACATCGTCAATCTAGCCACTGTGATGTGTACTTGGCCTTCAGTGACAGCTTTCCAAGTACAAAGGCTACTCGGCCTCATGGCTGCTACTACATCAGTCCTGGTTTTTGCCAAGTTGAGAATGCACCACCTGCAACTCTGGTTTATCCGCAATTTCAATCCAGAGCGAGACACACACTCGACCCACCTATCTCCACCCTTCAAAGTATGTGTCATGGCTGCCCCCGACATGGCCTCAGAAGCAGGGCCTGACAGCCAGGAACAGGTGAACTTGGCACCTTTAACAGAAGGAACTGTAAGTCCTGAGGAGGATAGCACTCAGTAGGATCCACCTGAGGCTAATCAGGTACTGCCTGGTCCGAGTTCATCACCACCAGACTCTCCCCCACCTGTGGGGGTTCCTGCACATGCCTGAGGTCTGGGCGCGAACATCTGTTAGAGCTTGCTACAATGCCGATCGATCCAGCGCAGGCGCACTGTATCCCATGGGTGTGAATGCACAGATGACCACTTGAAGATCACCAGTTACAGGTAAGCAACCTGTTTTTCATTGGCTTCTGTGAGAACATCCACCTGGCATCCTTCGACACCTGTTCCTGTTACAGACATTTTTTGTGCCATACCCAGATTGGTTTATCCCACAGTAGAAAATGACAGACACCTTACAGAATTCACCTTATTGAGAGTTGCAGATGTTGCTTTAGGAAAGCAAGATTCTAGTTTTCACAGATGCAAGAAAAAAGTTGAAAGCATATAATCCCAGGCTCTAGTGCTCCCATATAGCTTGTGGCCATGTGCCCTGCCCTGCCAAAACAAGAGGGCATGGCACAGCTGCCGTTTAATCTTGATACACAATACATTTTGAGCTCTGAAGCAGAAGTATTTTCTTTTTCCCTTCAACTCTTAGAGTTGTGGTCTTGCTGCCTCTCTAAAAACGTGCTTTTCACTAGCTGGTTTCTGGACAGTGGGGGGTTCCACTTTGTCAGGAGTAAGCAGGTGTATGTTTAGAGAGGTGGGGCAAGTAGTGTCCACCTTTTAACTCTGTCCAGGCAGACATTCAACAAGCTATTGCATGCTGCCAAGACAAGAAGCTGGCCGATGGAAAGTGTAAAAGCTGCACAGGATAAGCCTGTACAGGAACGGTCCTCTGCTTGGAGCACCATCTTTGTAGATGCTTTTGATATTACGCTTTTTTGGTCCAAGCCAGGCTTTCGTCTGTGGTTTTCTGCTGTTCTGCTGAGTACTTGTCTCTGTCCTGAGGATTTTATAAGATGGGAACCATGGACATGGCTTCCAGTCTGTCTAACTGTTGCACAGGTCTCCCGCAAGAGGTACTGGGAGCAGGGCTGGTTTGGGGAATTCTGCGGGGAAGAGGCCCAGTGCATAGCCGGTGTTAATGCACTCCAGCCCCAGCTGACTCTGAGCTTTTTGCTCTAGCAGCCCTTTTTTCTCTTCTCTTACATGAAACCTCCTTTCTTTTTTAACAGATAGAAGGTCTGTTGTTGTGAAGGCATTTTCCAGTGCAGTGCCTGTTGATTGTAGAATCTGGCTTTTCCCTCACCTGCCATTGTAGATATAACCACGAAACCTTCTGCATGGTAACCTTTTGTCCTTTTGTCTTTTAACTGCTGCCAAGTGAGAGGAGTGAAAACTGTTCCAGTGCTCACGAAAGGGTTGAAGAGAAGTGTTCCAGTGTGGAGAAGACGGGCTTGGCAGGTGCTGGTACCCGGGAGGAGGAGGAGATAACTTTAAATGGGCTGAAGGACACCAAGGAGCCTGACACGCCTTGCCAGGAGTAAGCTGCTGCTTCTTATTGAGAGCCATAAAAAGAGTGGCCAGACAGGTGTTTTTGAGGAGTAGAAGTTCATTATCAGGAGTTGTATGTTAATTTGAGCTGCCTGAAATAGCTGGGTGGTGCTTTTCTATATGTTCCTTTAGCAGTGGCAGTCCATTCTGTACACCTGTCAGAGCAGGGCTTCTGGGTAAGAGGACGTATCTGGCCCCTGTCCTACCTGAAAACTGGCTGTCGCAAGAAGAGGAGGTTCACAAAGTGCTTCTGGAACTCAGGCCCATCTCCTGGCTAGGAAAAATGTAGCTGAGCTAACCAGATCAGACTGTGTTCATCAGTCTTGTTGCCTATTTTGGAAATCTTCCTTATTTCCTGTTTGCTCCTGTTCAGTCAACATCTTCCTGATCCTGTTTCTCAGTTCTGTGAACTGCAGGCCCTTTTGGAAGAGGGACTACCTCTCTCCTGATCAGTTTGAGCCATTTATTAGTTTTCTTTTTATTTAATTCTGTTGTCCCTGGTATTGAAACTAGTCTGTTTTTTCTGTCTTGTGATTTTTGTTGTTGTTTCCAGTGAGCTTTATGAAACTAGAAGCATAAAGTTTCTGGCTTGTGTAGGAAGTCCACTCTGAACAGATGCATACAGTGTAGGGGGTGGAGTTTTATAAGAACCCATTATCTTTGTTACAGGCTGCATAGGGATGTAAAAACGTTAGACATTCAATGGATGAAGCAGTAAGGATTTTTTAAACCATTTATATGTTACAAGAAAGGTTTAAACATTTTCCAAGGAAAATATTTGCCAAGAAACCTGGCCAAGAGTTTCCTGTGCATTCCAGGATAGTTTGTGCCTGTGGAATGTGTATTTTCCAGTGTTGGCCATGCTGTTAACTTTCTGTACACAAAACTGAGGTATTCCCAAGGGGGGAAACCCATGGGAAGGTTATCTGTTTCACATAATTCTTTACCTCTCAGATGAGAGAGGAGTGCCTTCCTTTCTAGAAAATTCTCCTGAGGGATAGCCTGAAATTTAAAGCCTTTCCCCAATAGGGTGCTAGAGTTCATGCAAGCACTCCTCTGGGCTGTACTGGCTGCTGTCCTAGTGTTTGGTGCAGGGACTTCCGGTATGGCGCGTCGACGGGAAGAGCTCTGAGCCCCAGTCCCTCCTTTGTCTTTGTTTGAGCCTCCCGAATCGCGGGAGAGCTCGACCAGCCCCCCGGGGGAGGGGGCTGGAGCAGGGGGCTTTTTTTCTGCCCCCCCCCGCGATTTGGCAACGCAGGGGGGTGACCGGGACTGCCCCGACGCCGGGCGAAGGAACGGGAGAAGAACATGGCTTCCATGTTCCCAGAGACGCAGCCACCCATGTTTTTAACTACTAGGACTATTGCAACCAAAGAACTGTAGCAGCACAGAGAAACGAAAGAAGCTTTGACTAAACTATGGAAAGGGAAACGAGGGAAGAAGCTTAAACAGCCGGGGGAAAAAACCGAAGCCCTCCAAATATTGGCGTCCAAAAAAGGTGAAGTAAAACTGCCGGGGGAATAAAAAAGGACAAAAGTACAAGTAGAGTCTTTGGTGGGGGAAAGAAAGGAGACCGTGAGAACTGTGTGTAGTGTTGGTTTTGGTGAAGCTATGGGAGACGTGGGGAAAAATATTCATTGACTTTACGTATTGTTTGGAGGCTGAAGGGAGATGGAGTGTACGGAAAGTAATGAGAAGGAACGAGAGGAAGAGCTGAAAAGTGGTGAGACAGACATGGAGAAATTCATTAGAGAGATAAAAGAGGCGGTGTGGAGAGGTTGTCAAGAAGCATGTTTGGAAATAAGGAAAGGGTATGATTTACAGAGAGAAACAGAGAACGGAAAAACAGGAGCATATTACTGTGGAGCATATCACCGCGGAGGAGACTCTTGAGGAAGAACGGATAGACAATACGGACAGTGTTAAGGAAGAGAAATTGGATGAGGAGACGGAACTGTTAAGAGCTGATGTAGAACTTAAAGGAAGGCAACCTGAACTTAAATTGTGTTCTTTAAGAGAAAATAATCAATGTTTAAAAACTGGTCGAGGGAAAAATAAAAAGACCAAAAGGAAAACGCTAATGGCTAAGGAAGTTTAAAAGTAATAACAGACCCAGGACTGTGGAAAGAGCGAAAGTTAGAAGGAAGAATGATGGAGGGCAAGGAGTGTTCAAGGAAAGAAGGCATGGTGATATGCTGAGGGAAAAGAATAAGCTGCAAATGCTCAAGAGAAAGAGAAAGCGATTTGAAAAAGAAAACTAGATGCCTCCCCTCTCTCTATGGATTGAACTGGAAGTTTGACCTGAACTTTATTGGTTTATGAATTGAAGTATTGTTTCTATTTAAACCTATTTTTTTGGATGACTGACCAGAAATGTATTGGCTTATGTAATGAAATATTGGACTTTGTATTTAAACCTATTTGCTTATGAATATGAGCTGATTATTTATTGATTATTACTATTATTATTTTTAATTCTTTTTAAGGGGAAATTAGAGGTGATTATAAGGTGTATCTGAAGATAAGGGAAGTTAATAAGGTTGGTTAAGGTGGGTTAAATAATTATATAAGTTTAATGGAGTAGGGGGAAAATAAATTGGTAATATGATG